GGTGGCCTGGCTGGCTTCCAGCAAAGGTTTCACTAGTCAGGTTGTTGGGAAGAGTGACTTGACCCTGCAGCCTAAAAGGCAGGATTGCTGGATTAAAAATCAAGTGGCTTGTTGCCCCAGGAGCATGTGGGCAAGGCAGACAGAGATGCATGTTAGGAGCCCAGCAGTGTGGGACATGGAAAGCCAGAGAACATTTAAATCTCAGAAGGGACAGACAGAGAATCTAAAGGCTGGACCTTGGGTGGGTTGCTACTGAGGACCCAACCCTTCTGGCTCCAGCCATGTGTGGACAGTGAGTACCTTCAGCTAGAATGCCTTGGAATCCAGACTTATATTATGTTGTTGTATGGCCTTCTAAACACATTTCCAGCTAGAAGGGACTGGGAAAATTTTACTTCTTCCATTGGATATATGATTTATTAGTTTCAGAAAATTGTTATTCCTTGAGATTTTTATACACACACACACACACACACACACACACACACACACACACACACACTCTTACTTACTTACTTCAGTGGAGTGAAAAGCCAAAATCCCGTAAGTGTTTTTCCATTAACAATGATGGAAGTAGTTTATGTGTAAACAGCTAATATTAGCTGAAATCTTTCTGAAAAAGGCACAGGTCTGGATGGCCTTTCTGTCAACACAGAATTATTTACTATGATGTGACTGAACAGCATACTGTTGGAATTAGCATAAATTAGACAACTGAATGAAAAGGACAAGTGTACGTAAGAGGTGTGGGCATTGATAAGGGTAGGTGTCTGCAGTAAATAGAGCAGCAAACAATGGCTAATCATTTGGAAATCTCTCTTCCAACATGGAGTGTAGTTGTGCTCCGATATACAAAATCAAAGAACTCTCCAAAGAAGAGGGATTGAACCAGGCAGGACTATCTGGATATACAGTAATGTTAATTTGAATGAAAGATTAAGATTGGCAGACTAATTCTTGATGGTTTGATTAGCACCAAACATTGCCAATTAGTTTTTCCCCCTTCTCTAGCAAACATTTCAGTGTTAGTCATTCCACACTTTGTCCTCTTTACCTTCACTAACTTTTCTCTCCACTCTCCCTTCTCCTTCCACCCCACCTGTGTTCTGCTCTATACGTCCCTCAAAATCCATGCCTGGGAGTGGTAGAGCTGGGCTATCTGGTAGATTTACACCCAGTTTTTTGAGAAGCTTCACACTGATTCCCACAGTGGGCAGACCAGGTAGCAACCCCACTAGGGATGGATGATGGTTCTTCTTCACACCCTTGGTGGTAATGGTTGGTTGTTTTCTTGGTCTTAGCCATTCTGACTGGGATGAGGTATAATCTCAGAGTACTTTTAAATTACATTTCCCAGATGCCCAAGGATGTTGAAATATGAAGAATATTTTACTTCTTTTGAGAACTCTCTGTTCAGTTCCACAACCCATTTTTAAATTGGGCTGTTTGGCCCTTTTTGAGTTCTTTGTATATTCCAGGTACTAATCTGATCAATGCAGAGCAAGTTGACATTTTCTTCCATCTGGTTCTTCCGTTGTTTCCTTTGCTGTACAGTGGCCTTGCAGTTTTCTGACATCCCATCTACCAACTGTTGGGCTCAGGTCCTGTGCTCCTGGGGTCCTGTTCAGGAAGCCCTCTGTGCCCTTCAGGAGAAGCATCCTGCCTTCTCCTCCATCAGATCTGGGACTTTATGACTGAACTCGAGGTCCTTGATCTTTGGAACCAAGCTCTGTGCTGGGTGAGAGACGAGGATCCAGCTTTATTCATCTGCACGTGGATATTCAGGGTTTCCAGCACCTTTTGATGAAGATGCTGACTTTTCTCCAGTGTGCATGTTTGGCATCACTGTCAAAAATCAGGTGTTTGTAGTTGCACAGATTTTTATGTCAGAGTTGCCAATTCTATTCCTCTGATAATGTTGTACATTTAATTCTGACAAAAATTCACTGGTTGGACTTAGCAAGTGGCAAAAGTCTTAGTGAAAATGACCATATTATTTGTAAATTCATAAAAATGGCAGATGGGGACACCGGGCAATCAGGCAGTATGTTCTCTAGATTTTTTTGTTTTTTTGAGACAGGGTTTCTCTGTGTAGCTTTGGCTGTCCTGGACTCACTTTGTAGACCAGGCTGGCCTGGAATTCACAGAGATTGCCTGCCTCTGCTTCCCCGAGTACTGGGCTTAGGCGTGTACCACCACATCTGGCTGTCCTCTGGATATTTTAACTAAACTAATAGAGAAAAAGATGGGAGTAAGTCTTTAATCAGATATGCTAGAATCAACATAGATTTTAAAAGCTGTCTTTACAAACAAAATATTCAACATGGAAGTACAAGCTTGTGATCATGAGATTTGGAAGACATAGGCAGGATTCACTGTGAGGCCAGCCTAGGCTACACAGCAAGAACCAGTCTCACAAAAACAAAATAAACAAAAGCAACATACAAAAAAATAAAATTTAATATTTGGGATAAAATAAAGATATGTGAAGAATTACATGTTATACTTTCCTGTGGCTATACATAAGAATCCTAAGTAGATTTTTTTTTTTTTTGCATTTGTTTATAAAAGCAAACGATCAGCTCAGAAATTGAAGGATGCAGACACACTGAGGAGGTAGGTGCAGATGAACACAGAAGAAGAAAGTGATCTTGAACCCGGCTACCATGTGCAGGCCCCACCTGAGCTCAGATGCCAGCCCTCACTATCCAGGTAAGTTGGAGAGGTCCCAGGAAGAGAAGCGCAGGGCTGCTTTTTGCTTTGTTTAAGATGATCAACAAAGTCCTGAGATTGTTACTTGTTATCTTATATCTTGGTAAAGGTTGGTACCAACACTAAAACTGAGTATTCTGTTGGGAAAAATCAGTTAAGAGAAAAAGCCTAAATTAAGAGTTTACCTTGTCATTTAAAATGTGACACCAGAAAGACAAAAGCTCTGCTTTTATTATTTTGGATAAAAGTAATTTAAACTTGGAGGGGTAGTTCATGTTTGTAATTATAGCACTTGAGAGACTGAGGCAGGTGATAGAGTTCAGAGCTAGCCACGAGTGTTTGTCAAGACCTCATCTTAAAGGAAAAAAGTTTAAAAGTAGACAAAGTAGTTAAAAGTAAAACAAAACAAAAACCCGAGCAACTTAAGCAAGGAAATAAACTCAGCTGGGCAGACGGATGGGGAGGGCGTGGGTACTGAGGGGTGGAGACGGACTTCCTCTCCTGAGGAGACTATCATCCCAGAACCTATCTGAAACCTCTCTGCCCACTCCAAAGATAAAGAAACCCCAGCTGAAGCACCCGAGGATAAAGAGGTTTCTAGGCCTGTCCAGTGCATAGAACACCTGTTTTCATATATGGTCAAGACATCCAAGATGAGAACACATTTAAGAGACACCACACAATACTCCAAATAGAACAGAATATTTATTTTTGTGTGTTTTGATATGTTGGGACAAACCAAATTAAAGATTTTTCTTATGAAATGTTCTTGCAAAACACACAAATTTGTAAAATTGAAGCTTTGTCCAAACACATCAAAACACTTAAACGAGCCTCCTCTACGTTTACTCACTTCCCTTAAGAGCTCCACTCTTGTTCTGGAAGCGCAGCGGATCAGTGTGAAGGGCTAGAACATGCACAGCACAGCAGCAGTTCAGGGCCATTTCTTGTAGGTCTGGCTTAGTCACCCTAACCAAGCACAGGATGGGGAGGCCAGAGAGGCTAGGGCCTGTGAGGGCTGTGCATCCACTGCAGAGGTGGAGTCAGCCACGCTCTGGCTTATGCAGTCTGCTCTCTCCCTCTCGGCAGAATGCTCTTAGCTCATGGGGACACAGATTGATTCCCTAGATCATGAGGGCATGCATGCCCCTCTCCAAACAGTGTACTCAGCATCTGCTTTACTGCTGTTCTTATTTTCACATGCCTGTCTCAAATTAGAGTCCAAAGTAAATAAAAATACCTTTGACATCTTTTTCTTAGTTTTATCTTATTCTGTAGGCTGTATAAAATCCACACAATATTAAACAGTATAAAATACTGAAGCTTTTATTTATGTGTTGTATAAATTTTAATAACAAATTAAATTAGTAACAAATTTGTAACATGATAAATTTAGTAACAAAATTATCATGAACGTAGAGCTGAAATACTGTCATGATTGGCAATTCAAAATAATAATGTAAAATTTGCTACATCTCATGATTTTTTACAAGAAAGATCTTAGTTTGGTGTGTCCAACATATGAACTCTCACGTTGCACTCCCTTTCTGTGTGACACACTTTATCCCTGTCTTTCAGAGTAGACTCTGGAAGCCCACTGTGATGGTCACAGTGTGGATGAGGCCTCCATTTCCCACAGCAAACAGCATGTGGGCTTGACTCTTTTAACTCTGCTGCGAACGATTATCTTCAACGACAATAGATCTTGTAGGAGTCACTTCCACAAATATGTATCGAAATTCAAACTGGCCACTCCCTGGGTTCTGAAAAACAGTAGATGCTGTCACCCTCTCCAGAGCTTAAGCAACACGGGGCTCAGAACACTGGAGCCCACTCACCCGGCCAGGAACTGATGCTGACAAACCTCTTCCACTTCTACATGGACCGTTCCTTGCTTCCCTGGCTCAGAGCCTTCAATGTAGAATTTCACACGGATGCGCTTTAGCCCATTTTTCACATATTCAACAAAACTGTAAAGAGAATGTAAAGATGCACATCCAAGCTCCTTTTGTTTTGATATTATCCTGGAGTTCTCCCAAGGACAGTGTACTACCTGACGTGCTGTCTCCGCCCTCGTCTTGACATTTCCCCATAGCCTTTAACAGGCTCACCAAACACACTGATCACCTGCAGAATGGAGACCACGCTTACTTAGTGTGACTCTTTTCCGCCTCCTCCTCTGTGGCTGAGGACACAGAAGGAGAGATGCCTGAGACCCCAGTGGAGATGCATTTAACACCCATGAGCAACTGGTGAAATGACCACCTGCACATCTGTGAGCAGAGTGTACACAGTGACCTTTGAGCGCCAGGGTCAACGTGCGTCAGGGGACAAAGGCCTAATAACATAAAAGAACCCACGCGGCTTATTGTTGTGTGCTGTCACTGGCTTTGGAAGTGATGAATCCCTGTTCCCCACTACAACGTTCTCATCAGAGAACCTACCTCAGGGTGTGCTCTGCATTTTCCTAAGGCTTTTCCATATATTATGTTAGGGCTGGATGAAGAAAACAGTTCCTTGAAAATGGTGTATAACAAGCCACCTGAAAAAGCAGAGAGAGAGAGAAAGAGAGAGAGAGAAAGAGATGAAGCAAAGCAAGGGGCGAGACGCTGTGGAAAGGTATTCAAGCACTTGCTGGGCTCTGCCACCTGTAATGCTGACTCCCAAGAGCACCACTATCAAGTTGGTGAGGTCTCGCCCGGCTTCTTTCACTGCAAAGAGAGAATGTCAAAGGTTACAAGTGAACCCGCAGGCGGCAGTGGGGTCCATGCCCAGTGGAACATTCTCAGCTGCTGACCTCAAATGCTCCCACGTTCACCCCAGCGCTAACCAGGCCTGGGTCCTCTTAGCTTCCAAGACCAGAAGAGAATGCACTCATTCAGGGTGGCACAGCTGTGCACAGGGCCTAGCAACCTCTGTATTTCTGCCACTGGATGGTATAATGTTGATACTGCTTTCTTTCTTATCAGTCTCTCAGCATGAGAATGGTCACAGATGAGGCAACATGGACACAGGTCTACCCTGTCCAGATCAAGAATGCTGACTGAGTCAACCCAACCCAAGGACAAGGAAACAAAGAGAGCCAAACGGCAACAACTCTTAACCCACCCCCCAGGGCCCACTGATCAAGTGCATAAAACCCAAGAACTGAGCTTGGAACTGGAATGCAGTTGGCCAGTAAAAAATCTATGAATCTCATAAACCTACAGACACTGTTCTTACTCTTTTCTGCACTAAATAAGTATATGAACATACAGATTAAAGAACAGTTTGGGGAGCTAAGGTAATCAATCAAACAAGATATTATTTTGGGGGAGTGTGTACATTATTTACATAAATGCTTGTTATGTGAGAATAGCTACATCATGACAAGGGTACTCTTTAACCGATCCTGAGAACACTTCTCGTACTTTTATAGGCTAGTTTAGTCACAGTAGGAACCCAGATTTCTCTAACTTCAGTCCTTAAAAATTGATTTTTCCAGGAAATCAAAAGCTTAACGGATGATTTTTTTCTCCACTTTTTTCATTGGTACAATAAAATATTATAATAAAACCACTTATTTAAAAGCAGTCTTTACCACAATATACTTTTGGGTTTCGGCACAGGCTGCTAACTTGAAACGTGTTCAAGGGTGCTGGAGCGATGGCATGGCGGTTAAGAGTATTTGCTGCTCTTGCAGACATCCAGAGGTCAGTTCCCAGTAACCACGTTTGGTGGCTCACAATTGCCTGTAACTCCGCCTCCAGGGGATCTGACAACTTTTTCCGGTTTCCATGTCTACCTAGACAGCTGTAAAGTTGTGAAAACTGCGGGTCACACTGTTGACAATTCTACCTTTTAATCTGCATGACTCCCCTACCCTAGCTTTCCACGTAACCTCGCATAAAATGGTATTAGGCAGATTTTTGTCACGTTGGTGGGAGGGACTGGCCTTTACTGAAGTACCGTATAATTTTTTACCTTTCTGAGACGTGGAGACGCCGGTTTCCTCTCTGCGAATAGACACCTGCTTTCTATTGTCCTCCTTTGCTTTCTGGGGGTCCGGTCCTTGTGTCCAGAAGGTTTTCTGGGCGAACCCAAGAACAGTGCTAGGTTGTATTGTTGTCTTCTGCTCCAGCAGCCTCAGTCTCAAAGGCTGAGTCTTCAAGCAAGCTGTGGTGAGCTTGAAGTGTGGCGACAGCAGCGGCTGGCCCAAGGGCCGGTGAAGCTTCTCCGCATGCTGTACAACTCGGAGAAAAGCACAAATCATCTTCACAAACACTGAGGCTTCGGGACTGCAACTTGGAAAGCTTCGTAATCCACACACCCAGGCGGACAAGACATGAAATCAGCTCATCACGTCACACACTGTATCAGGCGGATATAAAGACAAAAAATCTTTAAGAGAGGTTAGGCACACCTTTCCTTTTTTCTCTTGAATTAAAATGCCCTGTTTACCTCCCTATTGACATTCACATCTTGCCCGCCATGCTTTTGCAAAGCAGCCTGGGAAACACCAAACGTCCTGGGAACCGCAGTTTAAGGGCTTGACGGTTTCCTGTGCAACCATAGACAGGAAGGCAGGGTGGACCACATCTCCCACAATGCCAAGCAGCGAGGACGCGCCCTTCCCTAGCTGTATTCCCAGACGCCTCTGCGCGGACCGCTGCGCGTGCGCTGAGAGCCCAGACTGAGGCGTGGATGTTAGCGGCTGCCGTGGTTCTTCAATGGCTGCGTGTTTTAAACTGAACTTGCAGTGTCGGACTAGTTGCGAGTTGCGTGTCCTCGTGGCCCTTCCATAGAGGACGTGTCAAGGGGGAGGTTTTTCGTGTCGTGGGTTGCCACATTCATGGGAAAGTGACTGTCTCGGCGTTCCCGTGTCCTCAAGAAAGCCGCTAGCAAACAAGCACGAAGCGGGCCGCAGCGGGCCGAGCGGCCTAAGCTCTGAAGGGCGAACTGGCGCCCGATGGCCGGGGCGTGGGAAGGAAGCCGGGCCCGGGAGGGTCCCGCTCGACGTCCGGGCAGCCGCGGCGGAGGCGTGCCCGGGGACGCTCGGCCCACGCATGCGCGAGCCCGGCTCTGCGCACGCGTGACGGGCCGCGCTGCGCCTCTCTGCCGCGCCGCTAGAAGGTATCCTTGGGTCTCCATGGCGACCGGACGGGGTTGGATGCTGAGGCCGGGATGCTTCGGCCTGCAGACGCCGCGCGGGTCCCTTGATGGCGGCGCTACCTGGGGCAGCGCGGGGCTGGCCGCGGGGTGTTCCGGGTTCAGGTGACGCTCGGGGCTCGCGGGTGGGTCTCCGCAGTGTCCCACACGACCGCTCTTTCTACAAGATTTTCCTTGGTCCCGCGCTGGCCTGTGGCTTCTGCTGCCTTTTAACGCGGGAAGCATCGTGAGAGTGACCAAAGGAAACCTCTCCGACCTGGAAGGACACAAGTGGAGTTCCTTTCTGAGGAAGTTTCTACTATTTCTAAGCCTTCCATCCTTCGCTGGCAGCCCCTGTGGGAGGCTCTTAGCTGACTTCCAATCGCTGGGAGACGGCACCAGCGCACGTGTGAAGAAGTGCGCACACCTATCTCGTTGCGGAGCACAAGGCTGTCATATACCCCTTTTTGTATTTTAGAAAGAGAATCACCCGTAGCCCTTTTTATGGCCTTGTAACTTGGAGTAGAATGTAGCCATCAAAACCTCGTATTTTGTTCACCTCTCCCACCAGGCCAGGTTGTTTCTGAAGTCTCATCGAGGTCCGCAGCTCTCTTCTAGTTTGCTGTGTTCCTTCGCATTCAGCGTAAGAGCTGCAGGGTAACTGTTCCGTCTTCAAGGCTAGTTTCCCATTTCTCTCAAGGCTTGCTGTTAAGCCAAAAGATGTTCCTCTCTCACGAGAGAAAGGAATTTTAGGACACAAGAAAAGAGCCTCTCAGAAGAGTCTTCGCTCACCCAAATAATTACCTTGCTACTTTCTTGTGAGCTGTTTATAGCACTGTACCCATCACTCTAGTTCGATTGTCGAGTGAAGGGATACTTCTAAGAACTCACTTTTTTTTTTCTTTTGAGACAGAGTCTGTCAGTGTAGCCCTGGCTGTCTTGGAAGGAACTGTAAACCAGGCAGGCCTTGAACTGCATGCCTCTGCCTTACTAATTAAAGGCCTGTGCCACCACAGAATGTCCATTCTTGAGGGTTTTCATTTTATTTTTAAGTCTTTTTGATGTACAGTCGTGTACTTTTTTTTTTTTCTTTCTAGGGAGCCAAATATCTTTGTGTAGGTGTAAAAATAACCTGTTAACGGGTTATGTCAACTACTTAAGTTGTTCCGTTCTCTCCCCAACTCCAGGTCCCTGTCCTATGTCCTTTCTAGGTCCCATTCTACACCCTGGTTTCAGAAATATGGCACGTTTTCATAATGCTGGACAAACTGTAAGACTTGTGTTGGAATGGTGACAGCATTTCTACAAAGAAGAAAAAGACTGGCCTTTAAGCTAGAAACTTACACTTTAGTAATTTCTTTCTATTCCTAAATTTATTCTTTAGATCTTGTTCTCTATCAGAGGACAGGTTAAATTTCTTAGAAGTCTCCTTATTTCTTTGTAAGTTGGGTGAGCTTTCTGACAAACTGATAAAAGTAAAGTACCAGTCGTGACTGTGTGGGAACCTGCTCTCAGCCTGTGAATTGGTCTTGTGTAGATTCTTACTGGTAAAGGAAAGTCAGCTGCTAAGACTAGGATGATTGTGCTTAAAGAAGTTAGTTATTAGCCAAGGGTGGTGGTGCATGCCTTTAATCCCAGTACTTGGGAGGTAGAGGCAGGCTGATTTCTGTGAGTTCATGGCCAGCCTGGTTTACAGATCAAGTTTCAGGACAGCAAACACTCTGTAGAGAAACCCCTTGTTTCACAGTAATAGTAATAATAATAATAATAATAATAATAATAATAATAATAATAATACCACATTGTGGAAAATTATGTGTCAATTAGGAATCACTAGTTTCTCATTTAGCATAAAATGTGTTATTCATAAACATGTGCTATGATTAATACAACACAATACATAATAAATTGGGTTAATTTATACCTACTCTAACTTGATTTATTTCATACTAACAAAATTTAAAATTATTTTTATAAATGTGTTGGGCTTATTCTAAGCTATTAAATAAAATGTACACTCAAGATGTATTAAGTGGAAATCCCATGATCTTCTGTCTGGACCTTCTCTTTGTGTATTTGAAAAATGCTTCTAAAGTAAACATTAGTGGATTCCACGTAGAACTGTTTGAAGATATTTGTTCAGCTCACTCATTGTTTAGTGGAGTGGCCTATTTATAAAGTGAAGTCATTTTTAGGAAGAAATGGAGATGTGCTTTTCAATCATGCCAAAATTAAATTTGTAAATATTTGAAATGGTAAGAAGAGCTCCATAAGGATTGTCAGGAGAACCTTGGGGATGCTCCACTGCTAGCCTGTCTGGAGAGTTGTCCGTTCTGTGAAATGAGAGGTCTCTTAAATGCAGAAAAAGGCCATAAAGAAGTAGTCATGCCATTTTTAGAAAACTGTTGAAAGCGATAGGCTTGAAAACATATAACATATTTTCCTGTGCAGAATATGTTATTAAGATGTATTTGGAGAATAAACTGGTAAATAAGCTGTAGTAAATGCTTTAGTTAAAGATAGGCATATCTGTTGTGTTGATTAGGGAAAAGCCTTTGGTACCTTCTTCTCTTCTAGATAACTAGTGTCAGAGAGTACCTCCCTGCCGGGTCCTTAGTTAACTGTTTAAGAAGAAGATGCCATAATATACATCCATCTACAGTTTTTGCACACATACTAAACAAGAGAGACTGCGCTCTCACCAGTTCTCAGCAAGTGAGTTAACTTGGTGCAAACTGTCTGGATTGGGTTGCTGTGTGTTCCTGTGTTCCTTGAAAGCTAGACAGCTGTTCGTGCAGTGCTTCTCAGGCATAGCCCTCTGTGGGCGCGAACCACAGAGGTCCTCTTTCTGATCAACACAAAGACTTTGGGGAAGAAATAGGGAATGATTTAAAGAGATAAAGTTCTAAGGGAACATAGAAAATGTACTGAGGCCTGCCTACTGTACCATGCTACCCCTGAACCTCGTTCTTACGACTGACTATGTCTTAGCTTTGATATGATGGCTTTTCTTCCATTCATTGTGTCTGTGTGTGTGTGTGTGTGTGTGTGTGTGTGTGTGTGTGCGCATACATGTGCCTACTTTCTCTTTTAGAGAAATAAAGCATATAATATACTATGGCCTGCTCTTTCATCTGGTGTATTAATTTAGAAAGTTCGCTATTGCCTGAATGCTATGTATAGTGTGGGTGCTAAAGAAGAGTACAGAGTAAAAGCCACGTGATGATAATGGAGAAGTCATTAAGTTCAGTGTTTGATGGTGACATGTGACACATAGGTAAAGAACATAAAGGTTGTATCCTCAGGAGCTGGATTAGCATTTAAGATGGTCTCCAAGGACACCTGGATGAGATCATATTGTTTGAATAAGTGCTCATAGGAGGTGAGTGGCAAACCGTGCCACCCAGAAGCCAGTGAGGACCTATTGGTATTTGAAATGCTTGGGTAGAAAATGTTTCCTTTGGCTTGCTAACTCCATTATCACAGTGCGAGTTAACTAATCCCTATCCCTGTTCAGTTTCTTCTGTTTTCTTCTCCAGTACAGATAGCTTTGAGGTGGACATTCCTGAGAGAACTATCAGGGCACGTTTTCTTGAGTTAAGGCTTATTTCTAGAAATGTAATTCTGGCTTTCAAAAATGTGTGAACTTTTTAAAGGTTTCAGGCCACGCTCCCAGACCTGGCCTGTGGAAGGCAATTACTGCTTTGTCCTTGATCCATCTAGAGGGTCAGCTTCCCTGTAACATGGTGAGCAGGGGTCTTAGCGTGTTTGTATTTTGCTAGATTGAAATTTATACAGTATACTATTTTTGTTGTGGTTGTTCTCTTAGACAGTCCTAAGTAATAATTTTTATTTTTCTAGCTTTTTATAATTTTATTTTTTATTGTTTGTGTAGTGTGTGTGTTTGTGTGTGGTTTTGTGTACCCAAGTTCACGTGCTGGTAGATGAGGGGCCGTAGTTTCTCCTGGAACTGAAGGTACAGGTAGCTGTGAGCTGCATGGTGTGGGTGCTAGGAACCAAACTTGAGTCCTCTGTAAGCAAAGTACCCACTCCTAAATCCCAGCACTGCTCCGTGCCCTGTGCTTCTGGAGCTCCTCTTGGGGTTCTGTTCTCTCACTGATGGACTCTAGCCTGTGATAAACAGTTTTCGCCACTAGGTTTTGGTCAGAGTATTCTATCGCAGCAACACCATGAAATTAGAACAGCATGTTTACCGTTTTCCCTTTTGTGCCACTCATTAATTTTGGAGCACCCCTTTGACAGGCTGCCAGTCCATGAGAGAGTATTAAACTGTAAGGGCAGACTTTAGGTTACACCCACCGCGCACTTGATCTGAACTCCCTACCTTCTCTTTTCTTTTTTTCTTTCCCTTTCTGTCTTTACTTTCAGGGATGGCGTTTCATATTGAATGATCTTTGCAGTTTATTGGCCCTTCAGATTTTTCAGAGGGGAACAGAAGATTTGCCTCATCTGGTAAGCACATAACTTGACTTTCTCACCTTTTCTTTCAGGAAGGGCTCCGGGGCTAAGGTTGCTGGAGACTTACCTGTGCTCCGGCAGTGTAGCAGGCGTGGCCCGCACAATGGGAAGTCCTCCAACTCCTCTGTATCCCTGGACAGGTAGGTAGCCTGCTTCTTGTGGGGTGCTGGGCTTTAGGCATGGAATTTTAGAGAAAATTCTGGTGCAGCATATCCCAAGTTGGTATTTTGAGCTTTCCAAGAATAGAATTGTGTAGGACAGATGTACAGCGCAGAGTTTGACATGAGTCATGAGCCTGTCACTGTCATCCTTATTAGACTAGTTTTATGAAATTAAAGTAGAGGCGATGAGTACATTAGACTTCCCTTTTATTAAACTGTTCTTCCTAATTATTCTTAGTAGATAAAGCCTGGAAAACCAGAAGAATATTGTTTCTTCTGAAGTTGTGTGAACCTGTGGGACTGTCCAGATCAGTAGTTTGGAACTTGTGTCACTGTAAGACCCATACTGTGACCACTGGAACCAAAATCCATGGATCTTTTAAAAAACTGGTGACATCACATTAAGATGCTTATAGGTGTGTGTTATAATACGGTTTATGGGATAGTTAGCGGCCCGTGGAGGTCTGTGACGTTGACATTTTGTGGAGAAACACTTTGCCCCAGGATGCACTATTGTGATGGAATGTGTTCCCATTCCCAGCTCCTGTGTTTCAGCAGAGGGTGACACAGGTTCGTGATAGAGGCTCTGAGGCAGTGCCTGCTGATCGAGCCTGTGTAGATGTGGGCCACATGCTGAGAAAGTTGGTCCTCTGTGCCTTCCGCTCTCTTAACGGGTCTATGCAGTGAGGGCTCTAATGACCAGAAAGTCACAATCAAGAAATGAAATAAGGAGAGAACAGTTTGCCTATTAAACAGGATGGACGTTAGAGATGCAGAGGCAGCAGTATTCTGTAATTTGTAGCTTCAGTATTGGCTGACTTGTTTGCTTTTCTCCCCCTCTCTCAGAATGCCCTCTGAAGTTTTGCTGAATATATTTTCCTACTTGGATGTTGTGAGCTTGCTGTGCACTGGATGTGTGAGCAGACGCTTTTATCAGCTGGCCAGTGACAAGTAAGGAGACTGCTATGTCCACTTGTTATATGGGGTAACAGGAGCCAGGAAAATTAGTAGGCATTTTAGCCACTTCCTAAAAATTAAGAGAGTTAATTTTAATACTGTTTTCAGGCAATAATGTGTCTAAGGCTGTATGTAGTCATGTGTTTTCAGACATTTGTACTCATGAGATAAGGAGTGTTCTTCGCACGTGCTGAAGGTCAGGCCTGCTGCTGTTGGGCCATAGAACAGAGCTGTGCTCTGTGATCAGGGTCCCAGCTTGACATCCTCATCCACATCTTGGTTTTCTGGGCAGATGCTGTGCTCTCTGCAGACCTTAGAGGAGAAGCGGCTGGGCCTGTTGAAGTGACGTAGCTCTTCCTCCCAAACCTACCAACCAAATACACTTGCTGTGTGGGAAAGGGAAAGGCGAGGAGAGACCCAGTGTGTGGGCCTTACCTGGGAACTTGGGCGGGCCCCCAGCTGGGTTCTCTGGGCCTCTGTGGATAAAGAGAAGACACAGTTTTTATTCTTCATGGTCACCTTGGCCTGTGCCTAGAATTCATCTCATGTCAAGAGAAATAGAGCCCTCCTTATGTCCGCTGAGCATTTTCTGCCCATTTCTTGGCTTTTCCGGGTTCTTTCTTATTGAATATCAAAAGGTCATACAAATATTGATTTGATATAGAACTCACAGATTGCTAGGACACACATTAAGATACAGAATGCAGGTTGGTTTGATTTGAAAGGTAAGGGTGTCGGAAATGACAGATAGGCTGTGGTGTGTTATGTTCCGGCAGCATGGTAGGCAGGAAACTTTCTCTACTGTGGTTCTCATATGCTAGTCCGTAAAAGACTTCCATAGTCAGCTGGGAAAATGTAAAACTTTGGATTCCTATGCTGCATTTGTGATAATTTTTGCACCATTAAAATGTGTGTGTACTAATGTATATATGCAGGTTTGAATGCACCGGTCTGGGCCTCAGTTATGCCATCTGTACAGTGGGGATAAAACTGTGCTACATTCTGTGTCTATTGGAAGGACTAAATGAGTTAGTATGTGAATTGCTTCCACGACAGATGACAGATGTGTGCTTAGGAAAACTTAACTGTTACTCTTGTTTTTAAAAGACTTTCACTATTTTACTGTTTGGAAATTAGTGCATATTCCTTGTTACAAATTTAAAGTTGGGAAGCAAAATGCATGTGTAATGGACGCACTCACTCATTGTTTGTACAGTGTACACTGCTTATGTGTGTGCACGACCACGGCAAGGCCAGGCTCATCGTTTATGTAATCTTGTGGTTTTTCCGTGCTCGAGCGCCTATCTAGTCATCTTGCAGAACAGCAGCCTTGGATGAGCCTAAGAAACGTGAGATTCCTACCTTAGACCTAACTCTGGAAATAGACTCTTCCCTTTTTACTTGGTTTTGAGGATAGTGGATCCAAAACATTTCATTTCAGACTGTGGTCGACTGTATACATAAGCACATGTAAATTATTCATGGAACTGGCCTCATTGAAAATTCAACATTAGTATGCATCCCTAATGTTGTATTTTGCTGTTCTGGGTACTTTACAGTACCTCCAAACTGATATACTTTATTCTTTTCTTCCAGTTTAATTTGGATCAGAATCTACTCAGCTACATTCCCATCAAAAAGATCATATTGGAAAATTGCTTCAGTGGACGAGACAGCTGCATCTGTGAGCTCCCTCTCAGTTGAGGAAAAAGAAGTTGGATACTGGAAGAGAGAATACATTACAAAGCAAATCTCATTTGTGAAAGCAAGACTAGCCCATATTCTCAAACCTGTCAACCCCTACACAGGTCTTCCTGTGAAGACCAAAGAGGCCCTCAGGTATGCAGGCTCCTCAGGAACACTCGCCTCAGTGGTTCCTGGACAGAACCACAGATTCTTCCAGTTTCTAACCAGATGTCATCTCAAGGTGTTTCTTATGCGCAGTGCATGTGCAGGTCTTTTGCTTAGTAGTGCAGGTGTAAGGATTGAAACTAGGGCCTTTCATATGCTAGGGAAATGGGTACCACGAGCTACACTGCTAGACTAGAGGAGCAGTTTAGATCAGAGAGACCTGTCTCTGGTAGTTTTTTTTGTGTGTGTGTGTTTTAAAAATTGACAATATTTTGATACTGGCTTATGTTTTTATAAACAACATAAACAGCCTCATAGTCTTGAGTAGAGCCAGAGTGTTGAAAGTTCCTTACCAGTGTGTTAGCTGTCGTGTAACATCGTAGCTACTCAGGGAATGTTTGCTCACAAGGTGCCGTGGATGGCAGGAAAGTATGTCAGGTGTGTGCTGAGGAGTTTGACTTTTAAGAATTAGATGTTATGGAAATGGTATATGAAGTTGTTGTTGTGTGTATGTGTGTGTTTGTGTTGAATTCTTTCTTTGAAAGCATTTTCATGTTTTTTTTTCTAGAATCTCTGGCTTAGGTTGGACACTTATATTAAGAGAAAAAAGTGGGAAAGAGCACATCGTTCCGCATGCTGATCTTTCCTTAAATGACACGTCTGTCACTGTTGTATGGTATCGCACAGATTGGCCACATCTAGCCACATTGTCCACCCTGGATCTGTGTGGAGTGACACCAGTTTTTATGGAGCAGTATAAAGCCCCTGACCCAAATGGGTGAGTACTGCTTTAGCAGCTCAGTGGCGAGGACTCCCAGAGCCTGAGGAGTTGCCAACACTCCCTGGAGAACAAAGGTCCCACCTGTATATTTTAACTGATTGTATCTTAGAGGCCTTCCTGTCATTCTGCGTTGCTACAGACTCTGGTCTACAATTTTAATTTCTTGAATCTTATAAGAGTACAAACGATAATCTAGATGATTGGCTGCTTTTCTGTGTTTTTACTTTGAACTGTTTTAACAAATGATATAAAATTAACATATTCTTTAGTAATTATATATTGATTTTAGTTTACATACTTCCTAAATCCAGCTATCACTTACTTTGTGTGATTTTTCCCTTGAGTGTACTGGATTATGTCCATGTGCAACTGGCGCTGCCTCCATCTTCATGTCTGTGGAGTGTGACGCAGACGGCTGTGAGGGCGAAGGTTGGAAGCATTAGCTGGGAAGCTGTTACAGAATGAACATCATCCTACTCTTCTGTGACTGTGCCTTGTTTTCACACACACTAACAGGCTCACCTTCCCAAGCAAACCTCACACTCATCAATGATCACTGCCTTATAAAGCTGGACTGTGACATGTGTAGATTCTGATGTCCCAAGAAGGCTAGCACTTTCTGTATCAGATGTGTTGCAGGTATGGACGTAGTCTGCCTTCACTGTAATTGCTGTTTGTCCCACCTCTTCCCTGTCTTGGTGTCTTGGACTTCACAGTGCCATTTTCTGCACTGATTTTCTTACCATCCTTGCTCACTCTAGTTCTCTTCCTGGGTCCCTCTCATCTCTGTCCCCATGAAGAGACAGTGTTGTTTCATGGTTTCCCTGGAGCAGGCTGACCCTTTCTCCTCTGTAGTGCCAGGTCTGAGGCTGCTTACTAATCATACTCAGACTCCTCAGTGCTAGAACCTATGCTTTCTGTGTTCCGAAAACATCATCAGTGAGAAACGTGTGGATTATTTCCCACAGTTAGATTACTAGGTATATTTTGATAACACAGTTACTTTTTAAGTGATATTTTTCTTTGGGTAAATATGAACTTTTTATGTGAAATGATGAACTCCAAACTTTTCTAATATAGTAGGTAAGTTGTGTACATTATGAAATTACGTTTGGAGTAGGAAATAATGACGTGCACTGTTTTGACAGGATGGTATTTTATGGTATTGTTCATAGGTACAGGTACAAATTAGTTAACATTAATTAAAATGATTTTGAAAAACTATGAGTTAAAGATCATGTTATTTGTTGAATTGTAGAGCTTACTTAAAAGTATGTGTGTCCCCAGCAATTGTCCCCAGGGTCAGGAATACTAGATACTGCATGGTAATGAATGCTGGAATTCACGGGGGGAAATGCATCCATTGTGATTTATTTCCATTTAAGCTCTCTGGAGCAGCCTTTGACCCGCAGTGGTCAGCACAGCTGAAAGTGTGTTTCAGGAAGCTCTCGCTGCAGTGTGTGGGCCAGTGCTTCCACCGTGAGGACAAACCTTGCCTGCATGTTTGTCCTTAGAACCTGAGGCCTTTCCTTAAGCGTACATCTGTTTCTCCTATGAAAGCACTCATGGTGCTATTGGCACATAATCCCTGTAACTGAAACCTTCCCACGGGACCACAACTGCTTTTCTTTAGTTGGGTTCTCAGTTCATACTGCCACGGCCTCTGTTTGTGAGAATGATTGTTTAATGTTGGCCTCAGTGCTGTGGCTGTGGCTGTGGCTGGAAAAGTTAAGGTCAGTGAGGACCGTTTGTCCCCAGAGTCTGTTTAAGTTTGCACAGCCGCACTTGGGTGTCTTCCAGCTTTGGCGCATTGAAGGTGAAGGGAAGGGGCTTTCTGCTATCTGCATGTAGCCACCTCTTTCTCCCCTAACCATGATGGTGACAGTGGCCGCCAGTTGGTGAGCATCTTTTGGATGTGCTGTGCTCTCATGGCATTTCTCTTTGACTTTATACTTATGTCACTGGTTCTGTGTTCATCTTCCTCCAGGTATATTCTGCATGTCTGAGTCTCTTTCTAGTTAACATGTCATAAATTGTGCCAGGGAGCTCTGCCACCTAACTGTTATTCTCAGCATAAAGATTCCTAATGAAACAATGTAGTGTTGAGAGTCCTGTCACATGAGAGAGTTTGCTCTTGTTGCCTTACAGCCCTCCTCTGCTTTGAAGCTGTGCCATTCACGACTGCTGCCTTTGCTTTCCTCAGTGTCTGCAAACGTAGCACCCATTGATTTGAGTATTAGTCACTGGAAGTAAATTTCAGATGCGTTGTCCCAGCACCCGAGGGATTTTGGCCAACTGCTCTGGTTCTGCTGATTGACCACTGAGGTCTCGGCTGCTTTCTGATTTCCCAAGCCACCTCTGTGTTCCCTGCGTGTTCTCTGTCTTGTCTGCCATTATTGTTCTTGTAGGTAGCGTTCCCTCTGGATGGCTTTAAGTCTTTTGTGGAGCATAGTGAAGGTGTCTTCTATGCAGTCGAGTATTTACTCTTGGGCACTAAGCATTCTGCGTGGCGCCTTCATGAAAATGTTTATGATTTTGCCTTAGTTTATCACGTAGTATTTCAGTTTTCACTGTCTCTCAGCTTCATTTTACAAAAACTTTGGAAAGAAAGGCACATCTTCTCTCAGAGGAAGAGCACGAGGGAGGGGAAGAAAACAGTAGGATAAGACAGTTGGTGTATTTGCCTCCCAGTTGTACAAGGTTCAGTATTTATATCACCTGGTTTGAGCATGTTAGTGTGTATAAATTGCTCTTCAAAACCATTAACACTAATGAGACTAGACAACAAGACATCAGAAAGTTCACATCTCTCTGTTTTCTCTTGGCATGGTGCTCAAAGACCACGATGGCTGTCTTTAATTGCAAAGTATGAGCTGACTCATTTAAGCAAGACTACCATGATTGGCTGGGACAGACTTGTTCGGATATTCTGTCTAAATCCTGGCCTCCTGGTGGGGCTGTGGCAGGTAAGATGGAGCTTTTGCATGGAGTGTGTCTTTCCCCTTCACAGTCCCATGTTTGCATGCTGTGAGACTGAATTAGACTCTGGAAGAAGTCAGTAGCTGCCTCCTTCTAGTCTGCTGAGTTGATCTGCTCTCTGCTGATGTGGATGGCAAGCCCTCCTCTCTCTCCTGTTTCTGTTATTTCTTCACTGCCAGGGCACCGCCCCACTTTCCCTCCCAGTCAGCCTGTGTGTACTGTCCCTTTCAAGACTTTGCCCAAATGTCTAATAGGACTTTTCCAACGTGGACAGCTCCAAGAATCTTTCTGACTTGTGGATGTGATATAGGACATACTCTGCCCTTCAGGGTCAGGTGTCAAAGAAGGTACCCTTTCTGTCTGCGTGTTTCCACTTTGCTTTGCCAGGCTGAGCCCTGATCCTTCTGGGTTTCTTTTTTTTTTTAATTTTTAATTAAAATGGAACTATATCACTTGCCCCCTTCCCACTCTTCCTCCAACCCCTCATAGCTCTCCTCCCTCAACCCCTTTTATGCCTCCTGCCATTCTCAATTGACACGTGCTTTTATTATTGTCATTGTTAGGTACATACACTTCTTATGTGTGCACAGAGATATAAATGCAGCCTGCTGAGTTCCTTGATGCCTCGGGTTATTATTGTCACTGTTACTGCTGAGTTCACTTGTTGTTTGTGTGTATAGAGTTTTAGAGCTTGCTATTGGATAAGCAATCAGGAGGCTCAACCCTGGGAAAGGCTATAATTCTGTCTCTCAGCTCTCATTAGTTGCCTTTAGTTCTTTGTCTAGGCATGGAACAATTTCCCTCTTCCCATAGCATGTCTCTTGGTTGTGCTGTTATTTGGTCTTGTTTGTGCAGCCATTTCTAAGACAGATGGTTTGATAGCAGGTTTACTGGTGTTCTGACTCTTATAATCTTGATACCTCCTCTTCTGCACTGTTCCTTGAGCTGCCGATGCGAGAGGTGAGATGTATCTGTTAGGGCTGAGCTCCAAGTGACATGTTGGGCTCTGCATTATGTGCAGTTTTGGATTTCTGTTAGCCTGTACTAGAAAGAAAAGCTTTTTTGATGAGGAGTGGTAGCCATGTTGTTTGTGGTTTTGAGGATAAGATTTAGAATGTAGTAAGGAAGTATGCTGGTCCATACAATGTGGCGGTAGTAGATCCTTTTCTAATGTCCGTGACCTCACTGTCTCTGGGAAGTTGGTGAGGTTTCTAGTACCAGGCATGATTTCCTTCCTGTTGAGTGGGCCTCAAGCGCATATAGACAGCTGTTGGTTGCCCCTGACATGTGAGTGCCACCTATGTGGGCCTCCTCAGATGCCTTGCTGTGCTGCCATTGTTGTGGTTTATGGGTGCTGTGGCTGGGTGAGCCCCTCCTTTGGCAGCTTGCCTCATATTTTCTGGTACCACAGGAAAGACGCTCTCAGCCCGGATCCAGTGCAAATCATCTGGGTCTGTCTGAGCCCTGTGTCCTGAGTGTGCAGTGCTTTTGGGAGGAGGGGCTGCTTTCAGCCTGGGAGAGGCATGCGAGGGCAGCAGCAGTCTGCTCTGTTGTGGAGTCACACAGAGCACCCTGACCAAGCGCTCAAAAGAAGGGCTCCTGGGCTCTCGGGCAGCCGCTTACTGCAGAGCAGGGCGGTGTGATGTGCTCTGCATCCACAGCACTTTAGTTTTGTGGCTGTGGCTCTGCTATGAAGCATTGCATGGACTGGTTGAGAGTAGCAGTGTGCCTCTGTGTCAGTGATGGGACAGAAGCAGGTTCTCTGTGTTCTACAGGGCTCCCTCTTGTTTTTATCAGCTGACCATGGTAGTTTTTGCTTCTTTTTACTCTCTCTGTGTGTGTGTGTGTGTGTGTGTGTGTGTGTGTGACTTGAGGATGAAGCACCAATTTGGTTCTGCACTTTTGACTTAAATATGTGATTTCTGTTGTTCTATAGAACCATGAGGACTATCTGATCTGCTTGGAGAGTGAGTGGTGCCTTCAGGCTTACCATTCAGGGGTAGCTACAGCAGTCAACATCAGTCCCCTGCACTCACATTTCTGCCATTTAGCCTGGTGGGCACATGAAGTGAAGTCGAGTCTTCCCACTGCATTTGACAAACCAAGCAGTTATTTGCAAACAAAACAAAACATCAAACCCTATTGTTGTAATTTGATCTCTGTTACTGTACTAAAGAGCAGGATCAAAAGCATCTTAGATGAGGAGAGGGCTTATTTATCCTCCCAGGACACAGTCTACCGTTGCAGAAACTCAGGGCAGAAAGTCAAGTCAGGTACCAGGTACCAGGAACTATAGAGGACTGCTGCCCAGCTAACTAGCTGAGACAGTCTAGAACCTCAAGCCCAGGGATGCTGGGCCCTTCCACATCAATTAGTAATAAGAAAATGCCCACACACAGGCACACAGGCAATCAGAGCCTAGCAGATCCTCATTTGGCACTCATTTGGATAATTCTGGGATGTATCAAGTTGATTGCTGAAGCTAACTAGGAGAAACATTAGCTCAGTGTTTGTGAAATTTACCACACATTTTGCAGGGTCTTACAAATATTGTCCTTATCTTTGAAAAGAGGTTGAAATAGCCTGAAATCACCCCCCCCACTTGTGTGTTTGTATGTGTGTATGTCTATATACATGTGTATGTATACATGTATATATGCATATTACATATTTATGTATACATATAAATAACATGGCAATCATTGTGTAGAAGAGAGCATTTTTCTATTTCACAAGTGATAGGACATTAATTCTTTTGGGACTGTCTGTTCTGTATATTGGGTAATGATGGTCCAGCTATTGTGTTATATATAAGTCTTATGACACACTTTGTTAGCAGTGATAATGCATGTACCTTCAGAATGATATGCTGTGATTTTTATAATGAACTTGTGGAAAATTAAAATACTTCTATTGAAAACTATGTTCTTTTAAATTAACTTTTCAGAAGGAGGACGGACTGGCTTTTGTCATGGCAACTCTTCATTTCCATCACCTTGTGGAGAAGAGCACACTAGGCTCCGCCACTCTGTATGTATCTGGGTGGGCGAATTGAATTTTGTATGGTCAGGATGGAGTGTTAGTTAGCTGCATGTTAATATTCTTATACTAGCTATGAGCATTCTGTAGCCAGTGGGCACAAGGCCACAGGCATGGCAACTTAGCCATTGCTAAAATAACTGCATTATTTATGTGTTGGCTACTTTTTAAAAGCACTTTTAATTACGTTTTTTTTTTTTTTTTTTTTTATATCGCTCCCTACTCTGCCCTAATCCTTTCCAACACCAGGTAGGAGAAAGAAAGGCTTAGTTGGAGAGGGGTCACAGCTCTCTTAGCTGCTTCCTGCTAGTCAGGGTCGTCAGGTTCCTTGGAGCTGGTCCAATCCTTGTTTCAGGAGATCTCCAACTTCTTGTCTTACTGCGTCAATAGTAGCTGGGAGGTGCAGGGAGAAGCAGGAGCAGCCTTGTTCTTTCTTGGAGTTCCTCCACACTCTGGACTCTCTGGCATTGTTCCCTCTCAGAGTCCTCAGATTGAAACTTATCTGTAGCTGGCAAAGAGCTCTTCTCAGAGCCGGCATGAACCAAATAGTCTGCTGCTATAGACCACCTGATTCAGTCCCACATCCCACACCTGGGACCAAAACAAAAACATACTTAGATCCACAACACTTATGAACATGTATTTGCTTGAGTTATTCTAGTTTGAGGACTTTATACCTGATAAGAGTATTCTTATAGATTCAGAGATGCTTTGTTCTTTTAGCATGCCACCATTCTCCTCCAAGTTCTCATCTGTAATGTGAAGTTCTGAACGCTGACAATTTGCAGACCTTTGGCCTCTGGTTGACTCTGCTTCTATGGTGCCTTCTAATGTATTAGCATGCTTTATGTCTCCCTGGAGCTTCTCCCCTTCCCCCTTTCCCTTTCTACTTGGTCCCTTCCTTACTGTTTTTTAATATCTGAAAAGCTGCTGGGTGCTTTTAAGTATGTTGCCTTCCATGGTGAAGCTTTTCTTACTGAAAAAATTGGTGTTTTAGGTCTTTTTTTGCCTGAGTCCCTGGCCTGGAGATCTGTATGTGTGCACCTCTTGGCTGGGTGCCTTTGTCTTTGGCCACAGAGAACAGAGTGGCCTTTGGGACTACCGTCCCAAGGTGGAGATCACAGTCACTGTGGTGGTCTTCTGGCTGCCTGTGAACTATGATTCTGTGCTGGTTTTTATAGAAGTTGGTGAGAACAGCATGGAACAGGTCTTTGGAGTTCATGGTATGAAGACTATTGTGGTTCCTATAGCATGACATTGGTGGGAGGTAGTGTTTTGAATAGAAAAATATTAGGAGTATTTTCCAACCAAGTATTTTCTTTGTGATGTTGAGAAACCTGTGTGTTTTCTTTTCCTTTTCAGTCCCTACGTGCTGCCTCCTCACAGTCCGTCTGTGGATGACAGCCCGGAGTACGGACTGCAAGGCTACCAGCTCCACATTGACATGCATGGCGGTGGGATCTTCTACCTGTGTAGCACGTTTCGCAATCTCTTCTCCAGGAAAGGTGAGATTAAGTTGTCTTGTTTCTTTCTGAAGTTGGTGGGCTGCAGAGAAGAAACTATTGTTTGTGTTCACTTATCCTCCCATGTGGTCAGCTGCTGAGTCCAGCTCTGTTTTCTTTGCATGTGTCTGTTGGGCCTGACTCTGTCTCTCCCATTCTCTAACCTGTACCAGGAGGCTCCCCTCAGCCTTCCTGATGTTCGGGTCTGCCTGTTACTCTTACATCCAAAGCCTCCCTTCTTTCCCCAGGAATCTGTGGGTCACAGGGTGAGTGTCACAGCCTTATACAAGGAGACTGTAGAGAAATCAGTCTTTCTCATATCTGTACTACTCCAGTGTTTGCTATTTGCCAGACTTTTCAAAACAAGGCGGGGAGACTCAAGCTCAGAAGGCATGCCTGCTTGTTTTATGACTTCTTGTACCTTTTGTGCTTAAGCCTTTCTTGTCACCAGTATGCGCACTCTCTACTTCTGTTTCAGCTGTGTTCTAACATCTTTCACTCTTAATGCTCCTCACCCACCTCACATTCCCCGTTGTAGTTTCTTAGCTTCTACACTGTAGAATGTGTAGGTACTCCAAGTTAAATACACAAAACTGAAGAGATGGAGTAAGAGTCTACATACAAGAAAGAAAACGTAGCATTTGTCTTCCTGGACCTGAGTTACCTCACTCAGTATTACTTCCAGTTCCATCTATTTTCTTGTAAATTTTATAACTTCAATTTTCTTTTTAGCTGAGTAGAATTCTATTGAGTATATTTTATTATTTATTTGTCAGTTAGTTGATGTACATGTAGGCTGATTCCATCTCCTAGCTATTATGAATAGAGCAGCAAAGAAAATAAATGTCTAAGTATCTCTGTAGTGGGTATTGAGCCTCATGTACACACACACACACACACACACACATATATCCAAGTGGTATAGCAGGGTGATATGATAAATTTATTTTTAGTCTTTTGAGAAACCTCCAGACTGATTTCTGAACTGGCTGCACTAGTTTACATTCCCACCATCATTCTATAAGGGCTTCGCTTTCCTCACACTGTTTGTTGTCATTTGTATTCTGGATGATGGCCAGTTAAGACAGGATCTTAATGTGACTAAAGATATTGACCACTTTCTAAAAGAGTTTACTAGCCATTTGTATTTCTTCTTTTGAGAACTCTTCAGTTCCATAGCTTGTTTTTAAAGTGAGGTGTTTGGTTTTCTTGATGGTTAGTTTTTTGAATTCCTTGTTTTTTCTATATACTAATCCTTTGTTAAGTATGTAGCTGGCAAAGGTTTTATCCTGCTCTTGGACCACGTCTTTAGTTGGTGGATGGTTTCTATTTCTGTGCAGAAGCTTTTTAGTTTTTTGGGATCCCATTTATGAATTGTTGGTCTTCTTTCCGATCAGAAAGTCCTTACTTGTATCTGTATGCTGAAGCTTACTACGTTTCTTATAGTAGTTTCAGAGTAACTGGTCTCCAGTTGAGTCCTTAATCCATACAGACTTGAGTTTTATGCAGGATAAGAGCTAAGAATCTAATTTCATTCTTTTACCTGTTGATATCGACTTTGATCAGCACCATTTGTTGATGCTATTTTTTCTGTAATGAGTATTTTTAACATCATTGTCAAAAATCAAGTGGCTGTAGTTGCCCTGACTTGCTTGTGGTCCATGTGGCTGCATTTGTGCCAGCATGACACTGTTTTTATTACCATGGCTCTATAGGACAACCTGAGTGAGGCATGGTGGTAACTCTCGAAGTGTTCTTGTTGTTAGGCTTGATTAGGCTACTCACGCTCTCAAAATTTCAAGATCATTTTTCTCTCTTTAAAAGTTCCACAGTCTTAAAAGTCTAAGTTCTCTTTAAAAGTTCAAAGTCGTTCAGCTGTGGGCTCCTGTAAAATAATAATAATAAAAATATTAATGTATTTTCTTACTCCAAGAGGGAAGAACCAGGGGACAATCACAATCAAAATCAAAGCAAAGCCAACTTCAACAGTGAAAAGTTCAGTGCTTTGTGTCTGGACCTGTGGTTGATCATCTCAGCTGCAAAGGCCTGGAGGAGCTTTGGCTCAGGCGCTGAAGCCCATAGCCCATAGCACTTGTCTTATGGGTTCAGGCTAGCTCTCTCCACAGCTGCTGCTGTCCCTGGCCGTCATCCTGTGGTTCTGGCGTTTCCAGCATGCTAGGCTCTTTACTGAAACTAAAGCTGCATTTTCATCAATGTCCTATCCCAGCCTCTCTTCAGGGACTCCAGCCTTGCCTTCTATTGCTGAGCCTCAGTTGCTCTCCAGGACCCCTTCATGCTTTTAAACCAGCACCACCTGAGTGATTCTGACACATTTCCAAGTGTCGCTGCTCATGGGAGATGCAGGCCTGGCTGCCATGGGACACAGTGCCTCTGTGCTGACCCTCAGTGATGCTGTACTCTTCTTCATCCGTCTGATTTTCAGCCCCGGCTAATCAATATCAGTTGTCCCATTCAAACAAATGCTTTACTTCAGTGATGCTGCTCTTTTGTTTATCACAGCTGATTTCTTCAGTGGCCCTGCCCAGAGCCCCAGATTCTTAAGTGAAAAGATCATACCAGTGGCCCTGACTTTGCTTCTCAGGCCTGTGTCGTCTTCATCTCTTTCATCATTCCTGTCTTCCAAACTCCTTCTGTATATCGGTCATCAATCGGGAATATGCCCTCCAGGCTTGCCTTCAGGCCAGTATGATGGGGCATTTTCTCAACTGAAGTTTCTCTTCTCATGTTTAATTGACAAAAAACAAATAACCTGCCCCCTTAAAATAATAAAATTAGCCAACACAGGTGGCTATTGTGAATGATATTTTTTTCTTTCATTTGCCAGTATGTTTGTCATTGATGTTTGTGTGTTAATTGTGCTATCTGCTGCTTTGCTGAAAGTGTATCAGCTCTAAGACTTCTTCGGTAGAGTCTTTAGGGTCTCTGAGGTACAGAATCATATTATCTGAAAAGGAGCTACATTACCCCCCTCTTTTGTATTTGTATCCTTTTTATTTCCTTCTCTAATTACTGTGGCTAATACTTTGAGTTCTATATTGAATTGGAGCAGAGAGAGTAGACACACTTGTCTTTTCGTTTAGCATGATATTGGTTACAGGTTCTTTGTACATAGACTTTATTATGTTGATGTGTGCTGTATGCATTCATAGCTTCTTTTTTACTTACCAAGAAAGGCTGATTTTACCCGAGGGCTTTCTGCATCTACTGGCATGATCATAATCAAATATGTACTTTTGAGTCCAGTTTGATGACCTCCAGGGCAGGACCTGCTGTGAGTGTCTGCCCTGGGTGGCTGTTTCAGGCACAGGCAGCCCCTGTAAGTGTCTACTCTCAGAGCAGCTGCTCATGCTGCACAGTTGGGAAATCTGGCCTTTTACTGGACTCGTTTGTTATCTGTGTACTTCAGTATTTACTTTTACTCTGTCATGTGAGGCTCTGCGAAAAGCATCTCATCATTGGAACCCAGGTATATACCACCATTCCCTAGTTGACTCTGAGTACAACTGTCTTTATTCTGGTGGCAATAGCTTTGGCAGAGAACTTAGCCTCTTGTGTCAAGGCTCTTCCTGCCCCGTACCCTGTCCTCTCTCCAGCATTCACATATCCACCAAATGCTAGAGAGGCCAGCATTCAGCCTGTCTAGGTCTTGCTGTGGGGAGAGCCTGGCTCTGGTGACGAGTGATTGAGACTGAAGCCTGGGAGCCGATGAGGTGAGTTGAATGGTCTCTGTTGTGGTTGCTCCCCAGAGTTCTCCTTCCATTTGAATCTTGTGACCACTACTGTGGTCTGTGGGGCCCAAGCTTTTCTGCCTGATCCCCTGTCTGGCATCTTCTTCTCTCTTCTGCCCTGCTCTGCTGTCCTTGTCCTGCTTTGGCAGTACCAGCTGTTGTGGCCGATCCCACATGCCTGCAGTGTCAGCACTACAGATCTCTGCAAGGTCACTGTCAGCTGTGCAGTGAGACTTCCTAGCCACTCCCCATCTGGAATCTCAGGCCCGCCCCACAGCGCCCTGTGTTGTATTATTCAGCTTTACCAGTTAAACCTATTTTAAAAGATCTTCTTGATGCTGTGTTTTTCATTAGTTCCTGTCTGTCTCCTCGGAGGCCAGTCTGAGCACTGAGTGTTCCACAGGTGTGCACGTGTGCGATGTGTGCTCCCCTTTCTTATTTGTGTGTGCTTCTCTCCTTCTGCAAATGTGTTTATATGTGTATATGTGTGTGGACTTAGTCTGGCTCCTGCTGACTGCTCCTGAAGGCCACACTGCTGAAAGGCTCTTTGAGAGCCATGGCCTGTTACTGAGATCTCCTTGTGTTTCTTCGTCTCAGGCTCTGGCCTGCATTATGCAGTGTCTCTGCTGGAAGCTCTTACACTTCTCTTAGCTCAGGGGGCTGCAGAATGGCTTGCTGCTGTGGAGGGGATGCTGCAGCTTAGTGGCATTGCTGGGCCAGAGCAAGAGGATGGCAAGGGTCTGAGGAACTTTCTAAGAAGGGAAATCCTGCTTTCTGCCTCTCGGAGTCTAGGCAGGCCCTCAGATGCCAGTCAAGCCTGCTTCTCAGGCAGCCTCACAGGTCCAGTGCGACCACTGTGGGGTTGCCCTGGTGTTCTCATTTTCTTGTACAGCACACAGATAGGGTAGAGTCCTTGAACTACTTCACATTTTTCTTGCTCTGTGGAAGGAGGAAGCCCATAGATTCATCAGTGGCCCAAGTGTTTTGTGTCTATGTACCTATGATAAAGGTGCTTGCTTCACTACATGTAAAAATTCTTTGCAATCTGAATATAGCTTCTGTGTATCTATTTCATCTCCTCACTTCAAGGAAAGCATCAAGTGTGTTTTCTATTTCTAATTGGACATGGTTTATATAGATATTCAACCATTCTAAAATTTGTTTCTAAAACACTAATTGCATTTTAAGTTTTTACTGCTTTAAAAATGTGAAATGCTTTCACATTGTATGACTACAGAGCACTCCAGTATTTCC